GGAGATAGACCACTCGCAGTACCGTGATTGTGATAATTCCCAGCTAGAGGAGATAGACCACTCGCAGTACCGTGGTTGTGATAAATTCCCAGCTAGAGGAGATAGACCACTCGCAGTACCGTGGTTGTGATAATTCCCAGCTAGAGGAGATAGACCACTCGCAGTACCGTGGTTGTGATAATTCCCAGCTAGAGGAGATAGACCACTCGCAGTACCGTGGGTTTTGATAATTCCCAGCTAGAGGAGATAGACCACTCGCAGTACCGTGATTGTATAATTCCCACTAGAGGAGATAGACCACTCGCAGTACCGTGGTTGTGATAATTCCCAGCTAGAGGAGATAGACCACTCGCAGTACCGTGATTGTGATAATTCCCAGCTAGAGGAGATAGACCACTCGCAGTACCGTGGTTGTGATAATTCCCAGCTAGAGGAGATAGACCACTCGCAGTACCGTGGTTGTGATAATTCCCAGCTAGAGGAGATAGACCACTCGCAGTACCGTGATTGTGATAATTCCCAGCTAGAGGAGATAGACCACTCGCAGTACCGTGATTGTGATAATTCCCAGCTAGAGGAGATAGACCACTCGCAGTACCGTGATTGTGATAATTCCCAGCTAGAGAGATAGACCACCCCGCAGTACCGTGGTTGTGATAATTCCCAGCCCAGAGGAGATAGACCACTCGCAGTACCGTGATTGTGATAATTCCCAGCTAGAGGAGATAGACCACTCGCAGTACCGTGGTTGTGATAATTCCCAGCTAGAGGAGATAGACCACTCGCAGTACCGTGATTGTGAAATTCCCAGCTAGAGGAGATAGACCACTCGCAGTACCGTGGTTGTGATAATTCCCAGCTAGAGGAGATAGACCACTCGCAGTACCGTGGTTGTTTATAATTCCCAGCTAGAGGAGATAGACCACTCGCAGTACCGTGGATTGTGATAATTCCCAGCTAGAGGAGATAGACCACTCGCAGTACCGTGATTGTGATAATTCCCAGCTAGAGGGGATAGACCACTCGCAGTACCGTGGTTGTGATAATTCCCAGCTAGAGGAGATAGACCACTCGCAGTACCGTGGTTGTGATAATTCCCAGCTAGAGAGATAGACCACTCGCAGTACCGTGGTTGTGATAATTCCCAGCTAGAGGAGATAGACCACTCGCAGTACCGTGGTTGTGATAATTCCCAGCTAGAGGAGATAGACCACCTCGCAGTACCGTGATTGTGATAATTCCCAGCTAGAGGAGATAGACCACTCGCAGTACCGTGATTGTGATAATTCCCAGCTAGAGGAGATAGACCACTCGCAGTACCGTGGTTGTGATAATTCCCAGCTAGAGGGGATAGACCACTCGCAGTACCGTGGTTGTGATAATTCCCAGCTAGAGGAGATAGACCACTCGCAGTACCGTGGTTGTGATAATTCCCAGCTAGAGGAGAAAAGACCACTCGCAGTACCGTGATTGTGATAATTCCCAGCTAGAGGAGATAGACCACTCGCAGTACCGTGGTTGTGATAATTCCCAGCTAGAGGAGATAGACCACTCGCAGTACCGTGGTTGTGATAATTCCCAGCTAGAGGAGATAGACACTCGCAGTACCGTGATTGTGATAATTCCCAGCTAGAGGAGATAGACCACACGCAGTACCGTGATTGTGATAATTCCCAGCTAGAGGAGATAGACCACTCGCAGTACCGTGATTGTGATAATTCCCAGCTAGAGGAGATAGACCACTCGCAGTACCGTGATTGTGATAATTCCCAGCTAGAGGAGATAGACCACCTCGCAGTACCGTGGTTGTGATAATTTCCAGCTAGAGGAGATAGACCACTCGCAGTACCGTGATTGTGATAATTCCCAGCTAAAAGAATAGACCACTCGCAGTACCGTGATTGTGATAATTCCCAGCTAGAGGAGATAGACCACTCGCAGTACCGTGGGTTTTGATAATTCCCAGCTAGAGGAGATAGACCACTCGCAGTACCGTGGTTGTGATAATTCCCAGCTAGAGGAGATAGACCACTCGCAGTACCGTGATTGTGATAATTCCCAGCTAGAGGAGATAGACCAAACCGCAGTACCGTGGGTTGTGATAATTCCCAGCTAGAGGAGATAGACCACTCGCAGTACCGTGGTTGTGATAATTCCCAGCTAGAGGAGATAGACCACTCGCAGTGCCGTGGTTGCAATAATTCCCAGCTAGAGGAGATAGACCACTCGCAGTACCGTGGTTGCAATAATTCCCAGCTAGAGGAGATAGACCACTCGCAGTACCGTGGTTGTGATAATTCCCAGCTAGAGGAGATAGACCACTCGCAGTACCGTGGTTGTGATAATTCCCAGCTAGAGGAGATAGACCACTCGCAGTACCGTGGTTGCAATAATTCCCAGCTAGAGGAGATAGACCACTCACAGTACCGTGGTTGCAATAATTCCCAGCTAGAGGAGATAGACCACTCGCAGTGCCGTGGTTGCAATAATTCCCAGCTAGAGGAGATAGACCACTCGCAGTGCCGTGGTTGCAATAATTCCCAGCTAGAGGAGATAGACCACTCGCAGTACAGTGGTTGTGATAATTCCCAGCTAGAGGAGATAGACCACTCGCAGTACCGTGGTTGTGATAATTCCCAGCTAGAGGAGATAGACCACTCGCAGTACCGTGGTTGTGATAATTCCCAGCTAGAGGAGATAGACCACTCGCAGTACCGTGGTTGTGATAATTCCCAGCTAGAGGAGATAGACCACTCGCAGTACCGTGGTTGCAATAATTCCCAGCTAGAGGAGATAAACCACTCGCAGTACCGTGGTTGTGAATAATTCCCACTAGAGGGGATAGACCACTCGCAGTACCGTGGTTGTGATAATTCCCAGCTAGAGGAGATAGACCACTCGCAGTGCCGTGGTTGCAATAATTCCCAGCTAGAGGAGATAGACCACTCGCAGTAAAACCGTGGTTGTGATAATTCCCAGCTAGAGGAGATAGACCACTCGCAGTACCGTGGTTGCAATAATTCCCAGCTAGAGGAGATAGACCACTCGCAGTACCGTGGTTGTGATAATTCCCAGCTAGAGGAGATAGACCACTCGCAGTACCGTGTTTGTGATAATTCCCAGCTAGAGGAGATAGACCACTCGCAGTACCGTGGTTGCAATAATTCCCAGCTAGAGGAGATAGACCACTCACAGTACCGTGGTTGTGATAATTCCCAGCTAGAGGAGATAGACCACTCGCAGTAAACCCTGGTTGTGATAATTCCCAGCTAAGGAGATAGACCACTCGCAGTGCCGTGGTTGTGATAATTCCCAGCTAGAGGAGATAGACCACTCGCAGTACCGTGGTTGTGATAATTCCCAGCTAGAGGAGATAGACCACTCGCAGTACCGTGGTTGCAATAATTCCCAGCTAGAGGAGATAGACCACTCACAGTACCGTGGTTGTGATAATTCCCAGCTAGAGGAGATAGACCACTCGCAGTACCGTGGTTGTGATAATTCCCAGCTAGAGGAGATAGACCACTCGCAGTGCCGTGGTTGCAATAATTCCCAGCTAGAGGAGATAGACCACTCGCAGTACCGTGGTTGCAATAATTCCCAGCTAGAGGAGATAGACCACTCGCAGTACCGTGATTGTGATAATTCCCAGCTAGAGGAGATAGACCACTCGCAGTACCGTGGTTGCAATAATTCCCAGCTAGAGGAGATAGACCACTCACAGTACCGTGGTTGTGATAATTCCCAGCTAGAGGAATAGACCACTCGCAGTACGTGTTGTGATAAATTCCCAGCTAGAGGAGATAGACACTCGCAGTGCCGTGGTTGTGATAATTCCCAGCTAGAGAGATAGACCACTCGCAGTACCGTGTTGTGATAATTCCCAGCTAGAGGAGATAGACCACTCGCAGAACCGTGGTTGCAATAATTCCCCGTCTAGAGGAGATAGACCACTCACAGTACCGTGGTTGTGATAATTCCCATCTAGAGGAGATAGACCACTTCGCAGTACCGTGGTTGTGATAATTCCCAGCTAGAGGAGATAGACCCACTCGCAGTGCCGTGGTTGCAATAATTCTCACTAGAGGAGATAGACCACTCGCAGTACCCGTGTTGCAATAATTCCCAGCTAGAGGAGATAGACCCACTCGCAGTAAACCCTGGTTGTGATAATTCCCAGCTAGAGGAGATAGACCACTCGCAGTACCGTGGTTGTGATAATTCCCAGCTAGAGGAGAATAGACCACTCGCAGTACCGTGGTTGCAATAATTCCCAGCTAGAGGAGATAGACCACTCGCAGTACCGTGGTTGTGATAATTCCCAGCTAGAGGAGATAGACCACTCGCAGTACCGTGGTTGTGATAATTCCCAGCTAGAGGAGATAGACCACTCGCAGTACCGTGGTTGCAATAATTCCCAGCTAGAGGAGATAGACCACTCACAGTACCGTGGTTGTGATAAATTCCCAGCTAGAGGAGATGACCACTCGCAGTACCGTGGTTGTGATAATTCCCAGCTAGAGGATATAGACCACTCGCAGTACCGTGGTTGCAATAATTCCCAGCTAGAGGAGATAGACCACTCACAGTACCGTGGTTGTGATAATTCCCAGCTAGAGGAGATAGACCACTCGCAGTACCGTGGTTGTGATAATTCCCAGCTAGAGGAGATAGACCACTCGCAGTGCCGTGGTTGTGATAATTCCCAGCTAGTAAAAACAGTGGACCATATTGCTAATCATCTTCCCAATATAGTATGTGGAAACGAAGAAGACTTCGGACTGTCCAGGATATTTATAAAGCGTGTTTATAAACTAATAACCTAAGGCAGGGAAACGTATGACAACGTTTCGGTCCGACTTGGATCATTTACAACTCACAATGTGACTTACAAATGGTTCAAGTCGAGTTATTTGTGTATTGTTCCAGTCACGGTAACATGCATTTTTTTGTTCTTTGTGTATTTACATTTCAGAGCGCAGGAATATTATCAGGAGTTTGTTTATACTTCAGGAAAGAGAGGAGCCATGGTGCACGTACCAGGCCTGGTAGGTATCATCTTCTTCTACCTGGTGATCCTGGCCATCGGCATGTACGCCGCCTGGAAGCGCAAGCATAAGACTGGTAACTCGGAGGAAGTGATGCTGGCAGGACGGTCCATAGGAACATTTGTCGGCATCCTCACCATGACAGGTGAGTGGGAGGAAGATAGGTACTTCCTCACCATGACAGGTGAGTGGGAGGAAGATAGGTACTTCCTCACCATGACAGGTGAGTGGGAGGAAGATAGGTACTTCCTCACCATGACAGGTGAGTGGGAGGAAGATAGGTACTTCCTCACCATGACAGGTGAGTGGGAGGAAGCTAGGTACTTCCTCACTATGACAGATGAGTGGGAGGAAGCTAGGTACTTCCTCACTATGACAGGTGAGTGGGAGGAAGCTAGGTACTTTCTCACTATGACAGGTGAATGAAAGGAAGCTAGGTACTTCCTCACCATAACAGGTGAGTGGGAGGAAGCTAGGTACTTTCTCACTATGACAGGTGAGTGGGAGGAAGCTAGGTACTTCCTCACTATGACAGGTGAATGAGAGGAAGCTAGGTACTTCCTCACCATGACAGGTGAGTGGGAGGAAGCTAGGTACTTTCTCACTATGACAGGTGAGTGGGAGGAAGCTAGTTACTTCCTCACCATGACAAGTGAGTGGGAGGAACCAAGGTACTTCCCCTTTGCCAACCTGACAGGAGGGGGGGGGAGGGGAAACTAGGGGACTTCCCATCCCCAACAATGGGGGGAAGCAAAAAACATTCCCCAACCCAAAATGGTGGGGGGAAGCTATTACTTTCCCCACCAAGCAAGTGAGTGGGAAAACAGTTACTTCCCTTTACAATACAAGTGATTTGGGGGAACCTAGGTACTTTTTCAAACCCTGACAAAAGGGGAGTGGGAGGGAAGGGTAGGGGACTTCCTCCCCCATTACCCGGTGGGGGGGAAAGCTAAATTTAAAATTTCCCCACCAAGACAAGTAGTGGGGGAACCCCAGTAAATTTTCTCACCATACATTTAGTGGGAAAAGGGAAACTTTTGGGACTTCCCACCAGACAGTTTAAATTTGGGGGGGGAAACTATACTTCCCCACCATACAGGTTTAAATGGGGGGAAGCTAGGTTTCTTCCTCACCATGACAGGGGAGGAGAGGAACTAGGTACCCTCACCCATGACAAGGGATGGGAAATTAGGTGTTAAAAATAAAAGGGAAGTAAACACAGGGTAGATTTTTTAAATTATATATATAAAATATATAATAATAATATATAATATATAAATATATATATATAATATTATATATATATATAAATATATAAATATAATATATATATATTTATATTACATAAAATATATAATAAAATATAAATTATAATATATATAATTTATAAAAATAATAAAAATTATATATATATATATATAAATATAAAAATATATATATATATAAATTTTATAAAAATATATAAAATAACGACTTTTGGGGGAAAATAAAGTAACGTACATAGGTCATGGCCCTCCTTTAGGGGTGGGGCCTTTAAATTTTGTGGTTTCAGTGGCACTGAGAGCCATTATCAAGCGGGAAAGTTTGTTGGAGCTCCCCTTGGGGGAAATATAAAAATCACCTCTCAGCGTATATATTGGGTAACACTTTACTATACTCCCAATTTTAGGGATTAAAGTATTTTTTGGGTTTGGGCGGGGAAAAGGGGAAAACGTAAACCCCCCTTTTAAAAAAATTTGCCCCGGTGTAGTCGTAGGGTTGAAACCCCCTTTTTTTTTTAAAAAAGCCACCGTTCCTCCCTTTCCCCCCCCCCAATCCTACCAATCCCCCCTCCCTCCAACCAATCCTCCCCCCCCTCCAACCCAAAACCTCCCTCCCTCCTACCAATCCCCCCCTCCCTCCTACCAATCCTCCCTCCCTCCCCACCAATCCCCCCCCCCTCCAACCAATCCCCCCCCCCCTCCCCAAACCCAAACCTCCTCCCCCCAACCCAATCCCCCCCCCTCCCCCTACCAAACCTCCCCCCCCCCCCCTCCTACCATCCCCCCTCCCCCAACCAATCCTCCTCCCTCCAACCAATCCCCCCTCCCTCCCCAAACCAAATCCTTCCCTCCCCCCCTACCAATTTCCCCCTCCCTCCCCAAACCCAAACCTCCCCCTTCCTACCAATCCTCCCCCCCCTCCAACCAAAACCCCCCCCTCCACCCCCTTTTTCCCTCCCTCCTACCAATCCTCCCCCCTCCAACCAATCCTCCCCCCTCCAACCCAAAACCTCCCTCCCTCCAACCAATCCCCCCCTCCCCCAAACCCAAACCTCCCCTCCCTCCCCAAACCCAAATTTTCCCTCCCTCCCAAACCCAATCCTCCCTCCCTCCAACCAATCCTCCCCCCCCTCCTACCAATCCTCCCCCTCCCCCCTACCAATCCTCCCCCCCCCTCCAACCAATCCCCCCTCCAAACCAATCCTTCCCCTCCCTCCTACCAACCCCCTCCCCCCAACCCAAACCTCCCCCCTCCAACCCCAAACCCCCCTCCCCCCCAACCAACCCCCCTCCCCCCTAAACCCAAACCTCCCCCCCTACCAATCCTCCCCCCCCAAACCCAATTCCCCCCCCCCTCCAAAAAATCCTCCCCCCCTCCAAAAAATTTCCTCCCCCTTTCCCAAACCCAAACCCCCCATTTCCCACCAATCCCCCTCACTCCTACCCCAATTTCCCCCCTCCCTCCCCAAACCCAAACCTCCCTCACCTTTCCCACCAAACCCCCCCTCCCCCCAACCAATCCTCCCTCCCCTTTCCAAACCCAAACCTCCCCCCCTCCAACCCCAAAACCCCCCCTCACCCCCTACCCAAACCTCCCCCCCTCCCCACCAAACCCCCCTCCCTCCAACCAATTTCCCCCCTCACCCCCACCAAAAACCCCCCTCCCCCCCAACCAATCCCCCCTCCCCCCCCTCCAACCAATCCCCCCCTCCCTCCAAACCAAAACCTCCCCCCTCCTACCCCTCCCCCTCCCTCCCCACCAATCCTCCCCCCTCCTCCCAATTTCCCCCTCCCTCCACCAATCCTCCCTCCCTCCAACCAATTTCCCCCCCCCTCCCCCCCCAACCAAACCCCCCCCCCCTCCAACCAATCCTCCCTCCCTCCTAAACCCAATTCCCCCCCCCCCCCCTACCAAACCCCCCTCCCTCCAACCAATCCTCCCTCCCTCCAACCAACCCCCTCCCTTTAACCCAAACCTCCCTCCCCCCAACCAACCTCCCTCCCCCCTACCAAACCTCCCCCCCTCCCACCCAAACCCCCCTCCCCCCCAACCAATTTCCCCCCTCCCTCCAACCAATCCCCCCCTCCCCCCCCAACCAATCCTCCCCTCCCTTTCCACAACCTCCCCTCCCTCCAACCAATCCTCCCTCCCCTCCTACCAATTTCCCCCCCCCTCCCAAAAACCAATTTCCCCCCTCCCCCAACCAAACCTCCCCCCCCTCCAACCAATCCTCCCCCCCTCCAAAACCAATCCCCCTTTCCCCCAAAACCCAAACCCCCCCTCAAAATCCTACCAATCCTCCCTCCCCTCCTAAACCAAAATCCTCCCCCCTCCAACCAATCCTCCCTCACCCCCTACCAAACCCCCCTCCCTCCAACCAATTTCCCCCCCCTCCCCCAACCAATCCCCCCCTCCCTCCAACCCAAACCTTTCCCCCACTCCTACCAATCCCCCCCTCCCTCCTACCAAACCTCCCTTTTCCCCCAACCAATTTCCCCCCCACCCTACCAATCCTCCCCCCCCTCCCAAAACCCAAACCTCCCCCTCCCTTTCCCAAACCCCTCCCCCCCCCCTCCAACCAATCCTCCCCCTCCCCCCTACCAATCCTCCCTCCCCCCCCAAAACCCAAACCCCCCCTCCCTCTTTTTCCTCCCCCCCTCTTACCAACCCCCCCTGGGCCCCCTACCAATCCTCCCTTCCCCCCCCTACCAAACCCCCCCCTCCTACCAAAAAATTCCTCCCCCCTTCCCAAACCTCCCCCCTCCAACCAATCCCCCTCCCTTTCCCACCAAACCTCCCTCCCTTTCCCACCAAATCCTCCCTCCCCCCTACCAATCCCCCTCCCCCCAACCAATCCCCTCCCCCCCTCCAACCCCTTTCCCCCCTTCCCCCAAAACCCAAACCCCCCCTCCCCCCCCTTTCCAATCCCCCCTCCCTCCTCCAATCCTCCCTCCCTCCAACCAAACCTCCCCCCTCCCCCAATTTTAAACCTCCCCCCTCCAACCCCAAACCTCCCTCCCCCCCAACCAATCCTCCCCCCTCCTACCAATCCTCCCTCCCTCCACCAATCCCCCCATCCCTCCAACCACCCTCCCCCCCCCCAACCAATCCTCCCCCCCCCAACCAATTTCCCCCCTCCCTCCAAACCCAAACCTCCCTTTCCCCCAACCCAAAAACCCCCTCCCTCCCCACCAATCCTCCCTTTCCCCCCAACCAATCCCCCCCTCCCCCCAACCAAAACCTCCCCCCCTCCAACCAATCCTCCCTCCCTCCAACCAATCCCTTCCCCCACTCCTACCAAACCTCCCTCCCTCCTTTCCAATCCTCCCTCCCTCCAAAACCCCCCCTCCCCCCACCCCCTAAAAAAATCCCCTTTCCCCTCCCCTCCACCCAAAACCTCCCTCCCCCAACCAATCCCCCTCCAACCAATCCTCCCTCACTTTCCACCAATCCCCCCTCCCCCAAACCCAAACCTCCCTTTCCCCAACCAATCCTCCCTCACCTTTCCCACCAATCCCTACCCCCCCCCAACCAATCCTCCCTCCCCCCAACCAATTTCCCCCCCTCCCTCCCAACCAATTTCCCCCCTCCCCCTACCAACCTCCCTCCCCCCAACCAATTCCCCCCTCTTACCCAATTTCCCCCCCCTCTTACCAATCCTTTCCCCGCCCCTACCAATCCTCCCCCCCTCCTACCAATTCCCCCTCCCCCCCTACCAATTCCTTTCCCCCCTCCCTCCAATCCTCCCTCCCCTCCAAAACCCAAACCTCCCCCCTCCTACCAATCCTCCCTCCCCCCTAACCAAACCCCCTCCCCCTACCAATCCTCCCCCCCCTCCTTTTCCAATCCCCCTCCCCCCAAACCAATTTCCCCCCTTTCCCC